ATTTAAAATATTTTATCAAAATACCACAATTTATTCATGAAAAGTTTTCAAAAGTAAATCTTTTAGAATTTTTTATTATATATTGCAAAACTTTTATATTTTGGCAAATAAATTTATCTTTTTAAATAGCTCTAGAATTTCTTTTAAATATTTTTTAAAGACAAAAATCTTGGTTATTTTTTAAATGCCACCTAACGTCTTAGGGCTACAAAAAAGAATTTTTTCTATTTCCTATGTCTTATTTATAAAATATTTTTATTCCTTCTTATATCATGTATCACTAAGTAAATTATTATAAGATAATTTTTTTATAAAATAAATATTTATTATATTTTAAAATAATGAACAATATTTTTTAAATATAAATTATTTATTAAAATCTTAAATTGATTAAATAAAATATCTTTAACCATCTATATTTTACATAAATTTTCTTTGATATTTCATATGTTCCATTGAAATGAACAATAAAGAATATTTTTATTAAAGGTACAAGATACTTGATTTTAATTTATTCTATTATCTCTAGCTTCTTCAAATTCCAACATTCAAAGTGATATTCAAAAGAATAATAAGCAAGTTTGTTTCAACTACTCTATATTCCAAAACCACGCTTTTAGGCAAAGTGAATTCTAGGATTTAAATGTAAAAGGACTTACTAAGATTGTCAAAGAACCATAAGTTGGAGGTGACTTACTACTACAATGTTGAATTGAATCAATGTTGACTCATAGTAGAGCATATATTTTAGATAATAAAATTATACATGTTACATACTTTTATACATGTGTGTCTACTTAGTAAGATTACTTGCATTGTACAAGCCATGTTCCCTTTGTCTTATCTTTGCTGGTTTAAGATTCTTTCATTCGCCTCTTTCTTGATAACATTGTGATTAAAAGTATATGGCAAAATTTGGTTGCAATAGGAGATGATTTTTTGTTGTTTTTTTTTATAGCATGTATTAAGATCTTAGCATCATTAAGTCAAAGCATCCTTCAAATGGTAAGTTCTCCTTGAAAATTGACCAAACTAGGTACACATCTACTTCTTATAATGCCACAATTTTCAGTAAAAATAGATAGGTTTCAAGTTTTCATGCTTGAGGACCTAAATTTGTGTAGAAAAAATTGATATATTCCTAGTTATACTTCAAATAAGATTTTTTTTTTAAGATAAAGAATCTAGAATAAATGTCATACAATATATTTAGTGAGTATTCTTTAGAAGAAAACCCTCATTGATAGAAAGATTAGATTGAAAGTTCATCCTTATTGGGAATTCCAATTGTATATTTTATTTTTTAAAATTATATTATACCAAGGAATTTTATAAAAATATCTGCCTTTTGCTTGCTAGTATGGATGTATGAAACAAAAACTTCTTATTTTTTAATATATTTTCAAATATAGTAATGTTATAGCTCAATATGCTTTGTCCTTGCATGCAATATTAGATTCTTTATAAGGTTGATTGAACTCTAATTATCATTGTATATGATTGATGGACCTTGAATGTCTTCTCTTAATTCTCTCAATAGAATTTGAAGCCATTTGATTTCTTTGGCCCCATTTGACCATGTTTAATATTTAGTCTTTATTATAAAGAGGACAATCATTAGCTATAGCTTGTTGTTCTAATGAATGGAAGTATTTCTAATTTTGAAAATAATTTCTATTATTGACTTCTTTTTGCCTAAATTTCTTTTCCAATCAAAGTCTATATATCCCATTAATATGTCATTGCCTTGATTTGGAATAAAAATACTATAATTCATTGTACCTTTGATGTAACAAAGGACCTTTTTGACTACTTTAAGATAGAGGTATTGTAGTGTTTTCATAAACTTAATAAAGAAATTTATTAAGTATACTATTTTTGGATATGTATGAAAGAAGTAGATCAAGCTACCTACCAAACTTTGATATTTGCTAGTATTTGTAAATTTTACCTCCATATTCAAATATAATTTGATTTTTTCCTCTATACATGTGGCTACTAATGCACATTCTAAAATTTGGGATCTTTGTAATAAGCTTTGAGAATAGTTGCTTTGAACTAAAAGCATTCTTATTGCTAATCATTAAAATTTTATTCCTATCTAAAAAATTAATAATTCAAGCTTAGACATTTTAAACCTTTTTTCGACTTCTATTTCTAGCGTCTTTACTTTAATTGAGTTATTATCTATAATTAAAAGATCATTAATATAAATTCAGACAATCAATATGACTCCTACTTTTTTATTGAAATACACATTGTAATTTGTTTCACTTCTTATTATACCAAATTCAATGAAGAAGTCATTAATTTTTATATACCATGCATAATTACCTTACTTTAGGCTATAGATGTCTTTTTTTAATAGATACACTTTGATTTTGTCCTTAGAAGAAACAATCAACTCTTATGATATCTCCATAAATACTTGCACATCTAAATCTTTGTTTAAGAAAGCAATCTTGATATTAAGGCGTTTGATACTTCATTTATTTTTAATAGCAATAGTCATAATAATCTATATGATAGGCTATTTGACCATTGATGCAAAAGAATTCTAATAATCTATTCTTTCTTATTGTTGAAAGCATCTTATGACTAGTTTCACTTTAAATTTCTTTATCTTGTTATTTGTGATTAATTTTGTTTTAAAAATCCATTTTAAAGTAATAGAAACTTTATTTGGAGGTGGATCAATTAATTTTTAAGTTCTATTTTATTGGATTAAATTAAACTCCTCATTTATTGCTCATATCTACCATAAATATTCTTTGGTTTCCTCAACTATTGTTGGATTATTTAAATTGATGAAATAAATATAATCTTCAATATAGAAAGGATGTTTCTTTATTCTAATTGATTACTTCAAAATTAGTATTAATATTTTGAATATCATTTGAATATATATCTCATCAAGTGTATCTACCATTACTAGTTGGATTACTACAAAGTTGTTGAGTCATAAAGATTGACTGTTTCATATATCATTTTCAACCTCTAAATATAAATCAGATTCTTTTGCATGTATATTACTATTTTTAAACTCCAATTGAATTTTTATATATGTTTCAAGTTGCTTTGGTTGCATGATTTGTTTAATTCTCAAGATGCTCTTATTGACAATAACATCTTTATTGATAACTATCTTCTTAGAATATGGGTTGAATAATCTATAAGCCTTGATATTATCATTGTATTCTAGAAATGAATAGCAAATAAACTTATTTGTGATGTATGTCGCCATATTAATGACTTCACTCTACAAGTAGGATAGTGCATGCTTATTCTAATAATTTTTTGTTCATCCTCTCTACAACTCTACTTTGATAGAAAATGTAAGCTTAAGTTTTTTGATGTCTTATCTTATGATTTAGTAAAAAAAATATTTTAATTCTTTCAAGGTATACTCTCTCCTTTTATATAACCTAAGTATTTTAGCACTATCACTTGTCTCTTTTTCTATCATTATCTAAAAATATTTGAATGTTTCAAATGCCTCGAACTTTGTTTTCAAAAAATATGTCTATGTCTTGTTTTTTAAATCATCTGTAAAAATCTTAAAATATATTAAATCTAAAAGTAATGGCAATGGCAAGGAACCATAAAAATCTCAATGTATTAACTTATTTCTCTATAGTGCTCTAGTAAGAGTGACCTTGGATGCATTTGCTTTACTTTGATTTCTTTCTATGCATGGCTAATCTTGAATCTAAAAATAAAGAAATTCCTTCACTCCCTCCTTCATCTCATATAGTATTTTGTAATTCACATGTCCTAGAAAACTATGCAAAATATCAATTTAGGCTTCTTTATCTATTATTCAAATTAATTTATCTATTGTGTTAGATTCTAATATGTAAAATCCATTGGTAGAATTCCTAGTACCTTATTAGAACTTGAGTAGTATCACTTGTATTAACTATTTGATAATAAGTAGATTCAAATAGTATAATGCATCCTTAATTAATGATGCTTCCAAAAAACATCAAGTTTTTAGTGATATTTGGGACATACAAAATATTGTGTATTTTCTTTATTTCACCATTGCAAGAAGAAAAAAAAATACATTATCCTTCTCCATAATTAAGTGGATTTATCCATCAAGAAATCTTACATTAAAAAGGCCTATATTTCTTGTATCAACTATCTTAGAAGCATTACTTGTGACATGCTTGGTTGCTTCTAAATTTAAATATTAACTATTGTCACTTTCTTGAATATCTATAAACATCATTGCCACTTTAAACATGTTTGAAGCTCTTAAAACCTCTTATTACTTTTGCACTTCTTAAATTGTGTTGACCATTGGTTTATATTCTTATCTACAAAATCCATTTTGGTTGAATTTGTCATAGTGGCAATACGAGCATTTTCTAGAGTAGCATCCCTATTCTCTACATAGATTACAGTTGCCTGTTTTGACCTTTTTTAAAAAATTTGGTGCCTTCATCTAGTTAATATTGAATATTGGGCCTCTCCTTCATGCCATTAATAGTGGCTTTACTTTTTTATAGAAGGTACCAAAATATCTTCTAGCTTTGGTGATTTAAAAAGCTTCAACTTAAAAATTGTCGTCATATCTTTGAGCTTCATTAAGTAACGGCTTACCACACAAGCATTCAAAATTTGTAAGGCCATGTTGACACATGATGGCCTGAACAAAGAGATTGTAACTCTTTAATTCTATAGTTTGAAGAATCTTCTAATTTATTGGACTTTGTAATATTATACAAGTTATTCATCATGTTTCTATTGACTAAAGACTAATTTCTTTGTTCAATAGCTCCTATCCAAATTCTAATTATGTCTTATATTGTTCCTTGCACGAGCTCCTTCAATTTCTTTGTTCAAGGATTATAATACGGTTCAACTTTGCTGCTCAACAAACTTTTATTTTAGTCTTTGTTTAGCCTTTTTCACAATCTTTGGTCCTCCAACTCCACTCTCTAGTTTGTACTATTAAATGATTTGCTTTGATACCATGTTGAACCAAATCAATATACAAGGACTCATAATAGAGCATATATTTTAGATGATAACATTATACATGTTATATGCTTTTATACATGCATGTCTATCTAGCAAGACCACTCGTATTGGTAAAGACGTTTATGGGAGATTACTGGGCAACAGTAATCCTAGAGACTTCCTACTTGGCCTTCCTATTTATTTGCCTAAAAGGCAGTCTTCGAAGTGGCTCAATAAAGTCACTAGTTATCTAGAGAGAAGAATAAAGTTTACAATGTGAATAAAATGTTCCAAAAGTATGTAATCCACACTGTTGTTACATCGTAGTGTACCTGGTCTATAGCAATGGGAGTGCAAGCTACATTATAGTTTCTTCAGAGAAATGTACCTTAAACAGTAAAGAATCTGTTGGTCTCGTGGAAAGTACAACATCCGGAGGTCCTAGATCTCTATGCTTCAGCAACAACATCGCCGAATAGCCCCTTGGTGCACATTGCTCAACTCTTACCTCTTTTGATACATATTATACAGAAAAACCTCACACCGGGGCTTGTGATTGCCAAGTTGTGGAGTGCCCTATTAATCTACAATAGTTTTGGTCGACCTGAATACCAGTCTTCGCTATAGAATGCGCTTCAATCACCTGCAGTCTCCGATGCATCGGCATCACTGGAAGAGCTCGACACTGCTCAAGCAGAGATGTGCTGCTTGACCACTAGCAAAGATGTGTGCATATGAAGATGTTTGGACACCAAATAATTACCCAGTGGGCCAAGGCCATAATCCTCAACTGGAATGAAGTCACCTGACTGCTTGATCGTACTATGTTCATGCAAGTGCAGTCCAGTAATTATCAGTCCATTCGGTTCTGCAGATTTCACTGTGTCGAGCACAGATTTTTTCAGGTTCTGCGTCTCGACCACTCGTAGTGTCAAGTTTCTGCAGGAGACCTCTGACTGAAGCTCCTCTACGGCGGTTGTAGGCGGGCCCTGGCCAGTTTCTAAGGATGCGTTGTTCATTGGACGATTGCGGAACTCTTTTCTGGCAGCTGTTGCAGCGGCCAGAATGGGAGCCAAAGCTTGTACATTCATGTCTCTTTCCTTTTGCAACAGGATGTCGTCCACAAGGACATGAGTTTCTCCATCTGGTTGTGTTTCAGTTGCATCTGTCACGTCCATCTTCCCAGATGATTCCGGCGAGAGGTCATTCTGCTTCGCTCTCCCACACTCCTTTGTCTTCACCCATGGTGCTGCGAAAAAATCCACCACATCACGAGCTACATGTTTCAAAGCACTCCATCCTCTTTTTGCAGCTGATTCAGTTTGCAGATGAGACTTCAATGTGCGACTTGAAACTCGTCGGATGCTGCACAAGTGATTTCGTTTAGGATCTTGAACCACGAACTGGATCACTGTGAGTTTGACGCCATCATTCTTCAACATACGGCGTCCTAGCATTAGGGATTCGCGATCATCTGGGCCTCCGAAGAAAAGCACTAGTATGTGCTGACAACTTCCAGGGGTAGTAGCTGCGTGATCGCCGAATCCATTGTCAACCAACAGGCCCACAGAGCAAGGAGGGTCCTGGAACACCTTCATGTTCACTTCCTTTAGACCTGAGGCTACTGTTTCAAAATTCTTATCAAATCGTCGACGCCTGTGAAATGGCAGTAACAAAAAATTCACCCTGTTGGAATATGCAGCGTTACAGACATCTATATGCATGTTGTGGAAGGCGCTGATGGCCACTTCAGTTTTAACTTTCACTTTGGTGAGTTGTGAAGACTTCTGAAATGCAACTTCAATTGCGTCCAATTCTGTATTTCCCTGAACTCGCAGATCAAATTCAATTGGTGTCACCCACTTTGAGTCTCCCAAAGTTTCCCCTAGAAAGATTCTACTAAGGCATCTAAACTCATTAGGTTCCTTTGCAGCTGTAATTGCAGCATGATTTGTCAAACGAATCTAACTCCTATTTTCTTGCAGACATGCCTACCCATAGTGCTACTGCGATATGGTATAGTGCATCACCTCGTTCCCAGCACCGTCTTCGCTTTCTCGCTTGGAAAATTTGGACATCTGGATTGTAGATAAACGTTCCGAATACTCCACCAGGTGAAGCACATATGCCCGGAAATTTTTGTAATCTTCACCACCTGTAATTTCAGCCATTTTCATCATGGAGTTTATGTTCCACGATCCAAGGAGACAGAACAGCATACGTAGTTCGTCCCTATCATCGCCTGAGTTGATGGTCCGCCTTTTATATGGTGGAATATCACAGGCTGGTTTATAAAGCCACATAACCACTGGAGTTGTTATGAAGGTGGTCGTAATAGTCATGATCACCATTATCGCAAACAATTCTTCGTTTAAAACCTGCATTCGTTGCGTTACCCAGAATGTTAGTTCTCAAAAGAATGTTTTCTTGTGCTTGATTGCGTGGTAGTGCAACAAGCAAAGGTCTTGCACACCCCCATGCTCCATCACCCTTACCTTAAAGCTGCAGGAATGTGAAAAGTGCAGTCTCAGTGAGGACTCAGCGATCTTACCCCTTTCGAAAGACCAATGTTGAGGATAATCAGTTCAACGAGACCTTTGGTGTTCATTAGAAAGCCAAGGGCAATGGCCTTGCGGCTCCCTACACCCCAAACCTTGGCTACAATGAACGTGCCCAGCACCTTTCCGACGCATGCTGACGCTATCACCAGGAAGAGAATCAAAACTGCACAAGTACCAATTTTTAGACGTTCCGTCAAGAACCATCCAATCCTGTTTCTATTGTGTGTGTAAGTAAATATCTATCAAACTGCATATTCCCTTTTCTCTCTTGAAGTAACTGAGGCACTAAAAACCTGGATGCACAGACTCCACAGATCATTTGCCTGCAGATCAAGAGAACTGAAGCCCTTTGGATGTGATCATTGTCGTTTTCCTAATGAAGAGTTCATACCTGCAGTTCCATTGTTGATGGCAGAGAGGTGAGTCTTAAGTCCAGATGCTGCGAAGTATAGGGGCAAGAAAAGGACACTCACGTAGTCTTCAACTTTCTCAATCAGTATCGCTGCACACCATGAATATTCAAGTGAATAAGTCGTACTCCTCTATGGCATGGTGATCAAATCACAATTTATCCTCCTTTTATCAAAGTTCTGCGATTGCATTAGTTAGTGAAGGTTGGAAATGGAAATTTGCTTGAACTGTGATGTTTAAGGTGAGGACATCAGGGGTGAATCACCTGTAAACGGACCATCCTTTGGGATAATAAGGCCGCAGATGAAGGCTCCAAATATGACATGTATACCAATCAAATCAGTGATGAACGCTGCTCCGAGTACAAGCATTAAAGTCATTGCGATGACTGATTCTGTTGCAGGCTCACTGTGGTGAGCCAGTGCGTACGTGATCGGCGAAATTACAAGTAACATGAAGACAATAAACACTGTGCCCAGGAGAAGTACCCAAAGTGCGACCAGTGGATCTGACCCTGAACTCGTAATGGCTACTGCCAGAGCCAGAAGGACCCAAGCAACAACATCATTAATCGCTGCTGCAGCCATGGCCATTTGGCCAATCTGCAATATTTCACAACTGGGTGAGTAGGCTTATAGAAATTAAAAAGTAGTAGCTGATTCCAATTACTGTAAACAGCTACCGGGTGATCGATCTCAAATTCAGAGTGCTAGAAGTTAATGCAGGATTCAACAGTGCAGATGACATCACTAGGTTGCCGCAACATCTGTGAGGGTGAGATGGGACTGAGTTATACGTCGGTGTGAAGAAGTTTTCGCTCTGTGAGAATGCGAGCGAGAACGGGAAAGGCAGTAACGGAGAGCGCCACGCCAAGAAACAACACGAAGGCTCCGAAATTGGGATGATGAAGAGAATTCTGAAGTTTGAATATGATGAAAGCAGCTACTGCCCCCAGACCAAACGGGAGGATTATGCCTGCTGCTGACAGCCATAGTGTCATTACTCCCGACCTGTGGAACAAGCATTGTGCAAATCGAAAATTTATGAATGTAGTTACGAGATCAAAGATAGAATGCATGATTTCAGCCATTCCTCAACCCTGCTTCACCTTGTTACAGGCTCGAAAAAGAACTTTGAATAAGGCTTATAGAAACTGAAATGAGACGGGTCTGGCTCTCTTCGCTACCTGCGAATCTGTTTGGTGTCCAATTCCAATCCCACTAGGAAGAGGAAGAAGATGAGACCCACTTCTGCTACGGTTTCCAGCACGGGCAACGAGCTTTCGGGAAAGATATTTTTCGTGAAACCTGGGATATGCCCGAAGGCTGTCGGCCCCAACAAAATGCCTCCCAAAATTTCTGCACAAGTGATGCGAACAGTGTAAAACTAAACTGTACGCAATCATAGATGATGAGAGTCTTCGCAATTATCAGTTTTCACCGTCTCTTCCTCCCACTGTCCTCAACGAGTGATGAGTAGCCACACCTACAGTCATATCTTTCGCTCACACCTCTGAGCTCAAGAGAAAAGGATAGATTGGCAGAGAAATTTCGAAATTTGACTGAAATGAGAGTATGTTCACGGCAAGAGTTTACCTGCGACAACGCGAGGTTGCTTCAAAGGGCGCAATAAGACCGCGACACAGCGAGAGACGGTGATGATGACCATAACTTGAATAATGAGCAGAGGCAAAGTGTGGTGCAAAGGATTGTCTCCTGCCACTACCCCACTAGACGTTACGGAAACATCAGTCACGTTCTCCGATGCCATCACGTTAAGATTGGATGTTGAGGAAACCAATTCTCCAAGTGTATCCGAAGGCAACTTGTTAGATGCTCTGGCGGGCTCGCACCAGTTTCAAGGTATGGAGAGATTTTGTCCTGAATACTGTGATTATCAGAGCTGCATTATCAATAAGCAGCTCTGTTAATGGCCACAACCAAGCACATTGAGTAGTGGTGTGACCAAAAACTGCAAGGACGCATTACTATGATCCCCCTGTCTAGTCACTGGGCGGAATAGCAGTATGCAGCACAATCTCCTCTTTAAGGGTGTGCTCCGTGCACATGGAGCTGTAACTTCGTACCAGATACAGCAGCAGAATGGAGGGTCCTGAATCAGAGACTCATGAGGCAAACTGCAATCATGTTTGTTCCATGATTACGCTCGAAAAGCATGAAGAGAAACCATTTGCAAATTTTGATTTACGGAAAGTGGGAGAAAAATCTCAGAATCGGTCAATTTGACTGAAATGAGACAACCACGCCCAACCGCGTCACTCTAACAGATGGCCCAGAGTTTGTCAGGAGGATTTTGCACTGGTCACTCAAATGTCAGGTAGGTTCCGAGTTCATGACACACGAATTCGAGCTGCCTTCACTAGTGAGGTACTTCGACTGATGCAATCTTATGTTGGCGTGGTTCAACTGGTAACGAATCCTAGTCCACCGGGACAAACCATCTCGAAGCATTGATCTTCACTAGATCGTCGAAACTCGTGTGTATCCCTAATCAATTGGAATGCACTGTGCAGGTGACCGACAGGCTACACTTGCAAGGCTCATAGGCCATGAAGTATAGAAGCGCCTAATTGGGGTATCACGACCTAGAAGGCACGATCTTTCAATTTCTCGCCGTCAGTTAGTGTGATCTGGACTCGACAAAACTCTGCTAAACTACGAAACATGTGTCAGGAGTTCGTAGAGTGGACATAATCTGCGCAGGATTTGAGGGACTCAATCAACTGTGAACTATCCTTGCATGCCCAGCTCTTTTAATGCCCACTTTGTCTCTCCACAGACCAGCCTCACCCCCTATGCGACGTTACTAATCATTGCATAGGGTTGATGAACAAAATCCATGAAAAATTGTGCGGTGGCAAGCTAACATCGGATGGTAAAGTATCAGCAAATTAGAACACGCGAGCCATTGGAATTAATGTACAAAGTGCAGCCCAGTATAGATCGGAAACGGCACTGAGTGTTTGTTAGCAATCAGTCAAGTAGGTGGAAGGAAATGTGCTCATGAGACGCTGGAAATGCAGCGCAGATGGGGGTTACCCATGTGAATCAGGCAGGAAAATTAGATACTCTGGGTCCAAATATTTCCCTGTCACGGAATATTGTTTCCCCTCCCATGTGGTTCTCATTCGGGATTTCGTCCTGTGGCTAGACGCTGAGTTTACTACAAGGAAGAAGTCCACTCTGGATTGTCGAGTGCTAGTATCCCAGCTCTCGCCACCCACTGCTTTTTGAAGGACAAGGAGGTTGGTATTTTCGTCAGAAACCTACAGACAAATAGAATATTGATTTATTTCCGTGGACGTGCTCTGGACAGCATCGGTCCATGCCAACAATTCTTGCGGTGCGATTCCTTCCAGCCTCATGATTCTTCCCCTGGAAAGTTGATCGTCAATCTCACAGCACGTCATTGCAGAGTTCCGAGGCACTAATTCGTCAAACTATTGCACCTGGGCTGTTCAAACAATTCCATTTTGACTGCTTATCGTGTCTCCATCTTGTCTCGTGGTGTCTTCCGGTGTCTAGTAAATTGATGAATCTAAACTGGGTTCATAAAGTCCAATTATTGTTACAACATATAACACGAAACTCAAGCCGTGGAGAGCCTTTCTAAAGGTTCCACAAAAAAGAAAAAAAGTTACATGAATATCATGAAGCTGGGTTGTACGACGTCTGCTCAGGGTAACATTTCTCATGGACAAGTCACAACTACGAGCACATAGAAATGAAATTAGATAGCTAATTGAACACACAAGAATTGGTAGCAACTATTATAATATCATTGTTGGTATTTCCTTATTATAAACTCAAAAGGAATGACGTGAGACAGGATGGTGACACCCAACTTTCGCAACACCATGGAAGGCAAAGTCATCAAAACATTCTGTTTGCCTATCATCAAAAGCAAAGCCACTTAATATATATACAATTGTACTGGAACTGACACCCTGTCAGTAAAGAAAGAAAAAAAAAAACAAAAGTGTATGTGGCATTACATGAGTAGTGTAATGGGCAACCGTGGGAGCTCTGAAGCACTGCGTTGCCTAAAAACTTAAGCTGCCCAATCAAAACTGAGCCTGCTCTTCGTGGAAGAAGGCTGGAATTTCCAAGCCTTGGACAGGGCCATAAGCAAAGCTAGAACTTAGTGGCCTGCCTCCATCCAGCTCTCGAGTGGGTGAGGTTTGCAACGACAAGAGGTTTGTGGGCGGATGCCAATTCCATGCAAAGGAATTTGTGCCAATCACAAACCAAGTGTTGGCATTGTTCACGCTCTCCAGGTAAGTGTCTCTTTGTAGAGGGCAAGGAAGGAAGGACAGCCTCTCTGGCTGTGGTGGAGAATGCCACCCTTCATTTTCACCCTTCTTACAAAAAAAAATAAAAAATAAAAAATAAAAAACACACACACACACAAGGTTAGTGCTGTTTCGCTTCCATGAACTAGTGCAGATAAATAGAACTTTCAAGCACAAAAAATATATACATATACATATATATATAAAACATAAAAACGCTTTGAAATTCTACTCTCTTGCTATGTGACCTGTTCTTATCGAGTATTACATTTCTTCATCCAACATTCAATATCGAGAAATTTTTACCCTACCATAATCACTGAAAGTTGACAGTCTTTTATGAAAGGCCATTCTTGAGAATGTGAAGTGTAAAATACTTAGCAAAGAAAATGTTCTTGAACTGATTGTTTGATTTATCTTTGGATTTCTTCCGTACAAATTATCTCTTCTTTTTCTGTATTTATATAAGAATCCTTTCATTGTGGGACCAATAAAAGGATCAAATAAAGAAGATGTGTTTATCTTAGACACAGATTAAAAAAGCAACGTCTATGATTGCTACAATCCAACAAAACAAACACCAAGAACCAATAAAAGCAAAAATCCAATAAGATATAATGAAAATGAGTAAATCCCTTGATAACTAGAAAATAAGCAAGACAAACACCCAAAAGGATAATTATTAATGGGAAGGAAATACTAATGAATGACTTCTTGATAGCTACAATCAAATAATGAATTATTAACAAACTATATTTTAATAAATTTAAATTAATAAAATAATTAAAAAATATTAAAAAATAAATAAATAAATTTAAAATTAAATAAATTTTTACAAGAAATTATATTTTAATAATAATAATAATTTTGATTAATTATTAATAAATTTATTAAATCAAAAGCTAGAAATATCTAATCATAGATAATAACTATAATTGGAAAAAATAGTATTGTTTGAATAGATAAATGTATTATTTTATAATAACAAAAACTTTATAGATAGTATAAAAATTATTCAAGTGCATTATTGATAATACTTTTGTATTTAAAGTATTTTTTTACTACTTATTTTAGTAAGAAAAAATTAAATCATTAAAACTATTCTAAAAAACTTTGAATCTTCAACCTAAAAGGATATCAAGGAAAAGACTATAATTCTAATAAATTATTAATAATAAAGATATTGGCTAAATTCTTATACAAATAGCATATATAGAATATAAATATTTTTTTATATTGATTGACTAATTTATTATTATTAAAATTTAATTAAAGAAATTTAAAGTTAGAAGACTTGTAATAAAACCAATCAAAATAAATTACTATTTTTTACTAGAAATATTATTATAAAATTCTAATTTGTTAAAAAAAACAAATATCACCAAATCATACAAATTCTTTAACAAGAATATCCATAATAACCAACCATTTGTTTTTTAGAAGATATTCAAATGATAAATATTTTATAAAAATTAGGCTACCCCGAATAAATTTAAAAAAAAAAAAAAAAAAAAAAAAAAAAAAAAAAATCAATTAAAATTATTTTACAATTATGTTACCAATGAAATTAATTAGAGAAGCTATATATATATATATATATATATATATATATATATATATACTTACAATAAATTTTGTTGTAATGAAAATACCATTTTTATTTCTAATAAAAGAATATACATATATACCATTAAAAACATTATATTAATTAGATTTCAAATATAAATCATTAGAGGTTTTGATTATATAAGAAATGTTGGATAGATAATAGAAGTAAATCAAAAGCAAGTAAGTATCAAATCAAATAAGGCAAGTAATTGAATATGAATTTGAGAATCATTGTATACACATATGTTGTTATTGTATTTACTTGCAGCAACTAGCAACTGGTATTTAATGACAAGCAATGACAACAATTTGCAGTATTTTATATTAAGAATTATCATATAAAAGCAACAACCAATAATATTTTGTACCTAGGAGTACCAAGTAGTAGTATTGCTAGTAGCATAAGATGGCAAATAATATCATAAGGCATAAAAAAAATTCCAATAAAAATATTTTAATCAAATAATAAAAAAATAAGTTTAAAAATTAAAATTAGATTAAATATTTCTCCATAATGGTTAAAATGAATAAAATGAGATAAAATTATGAATTATTCAAGGATGTGGATCATTTCTAAATTTATCGTAATATAGATATTTAAAATATATATATAATTTTAAGAGATCAAACTTAATATAGTTTGTGAACAACCTATTTTATTTAAGAAAATTCGTCTCACAAAATTGAATAATTATATTATGTTTCTATTGAAATATCTTTTTACACACTTATATAATTTAAAGTTTATTATTTGTTTATATATTATCATATATATATATATAATAGATTTTTTTAATTAATTTTATCAAAGGTTTCAAAAATAAACTTATTGAAGAAAATCGAAAGAATGTTGATTATTAAAAAATTTGAATAAATCATCTTTAAATCAGTTTTATACAATACATCATGAATTTACATCATCAACAAAAATTATATTCAATCAAAATTTAAACTTCATAAATTATATATCATAAAGTATAAGTGTTTATTTTTATTTTATTTATTTATATTTATATTCTTAAAAAAGAAATATTTAAATTAAATTTAGAAAAAGGTCTAATAAATTAAAATATGAAATAAAAAAAAATCAAATTACAAGAATAGAAATATATTGAACAAAAAAATTGAATAACAAATCAAGAAAAGTAATTCAATCTTTCAAAGAATAGTTTTGAAACCATTAGATTTAAGATATGAATAGCAAGATACAGCAACAAAAACATAAACTTAGACAAAAAGTTTAAAAATATAATACACTTATGTGATTAAAGAAGAAGTAAATACATGATAGAAAAGAATTAATATGACTATTGCTACATATAGAGAAAGTTGAAAATTCTAAATTAAGGTTGAATGCAAGAAAGAAATTAAAAAGACTAGACATATCCTTAATCTTACTTCAATATACATTATTTATAAAGAAGTTCTTGTGTAAGCTCTCTAAGCACTACAATAATTTTGACTTAAGGATTAAGTTGTTGGTTATTTCAAATACAATTTTTTCATAGTATAAAACTTGTAGGATAATATTAATAGCTATATAGCATATTTATAGAAGCCAAAAGATCTAATTAGTGTCTAAGAAACTTTTTCAAAGATTCTTAAGGTAGATGTTATTTTCCTAAACATTTCTATCTACCACTTATCTTAATATTCTTAAATGATATAAATATATGTTATAACATAACAAAGATCCAAAAATAAAAGTCTAAAATATATAATTTACTAATAATTTTATTTATAAAAAAAATTATTAGTAAACAAAAGTATTTGCATAGAAGGTATTTCAGTATATTTTAATAAATAAATAAGACTTATAAATTTAGAACATAAATAATAATAATAATAATAATAATAATAATAATAATAATAATAATAATAATAATAATAATAATTTAAAAAGATCAAAAAATCTAATTATTAAAAAATTAAATAATTTTAATAATTTTTTATAATCTAAAAATTAAAATTAAAATATTATTATGTTTTAAAAAAATCGTATAAAAAAGATCTTTAAGAAAATAAAAAATATATATAGTATTAATCTAATTTTAAAAAATCTTTTTGAATATAAATTATAAAAATTAAAATTTTGATTAATTAAATACAAAAATATATTTATGTATGATTATCAAATAAATATAGTTGAAGATC